TTGACAAGTATTTATAGACAGACTTTAACAGAACATGATAAAACAGTAATGCTGGCAGAAAATATAATTCTCAAAATGCTTTACATTTTAAGTTGTAGTAAAATACATGGATTTCATAAATAAATGCGCTTGCAGGTCTGTTATACTGTCACATTTTAATAACACAATTACATGCAAAAGCAAACTGAAGTTGATCAGAAAGCCATATTACAAGTTTCTAATTCATTTCCATTGTATTTCTATTTTGTGGATCAATTACCTGCAGCATCCAACTTCTAAATGATTTTACTTAAAGCCAATCTTGGTTTTGGTTATAGAACGCAGATCAATCTACCAGACAACAGAAACTATTATCTGTAAAAACACTGACTTTTCATGTTTTAGTTTTACACTAATAGGTAATTTAAGAAAAATATCACTGTATGCCACACCAGTTTTGTGGAACAAAGGAGGAATTAAATCACATTTTAATCTAATGCCTATGGCATTTATGCTTGGTTTTAAAAAATTATTAACTTCTCTTTTTCTTCGCTAAAATTGTATACTTCATCAATTCTTTTAGATGGATGATATATTCTACAAATTACTCAGAGGTATGGATTAAAACTTCTGCTATGAGAAGTAAGTTGATTTACACCAAGTCCCTTTATTCCTTAAGATGAAACAAAGTCAGAAACAAAGTTCCCCCAGACTACAACTGACATCTCAGGAAAATGAACTATCAGCTACTCATAGCTACATGATATCATTACAAAGGAACGTTAAGACTTATCTGTACATTGAAATAAGTCCCTACTGTGTGATGAATTTAATTCGGAGACACACAGCTGAATATACTGGCTTTATGTATAAGACTGATCTATTATTATTAGGCAATATATCTGAAGACAGACATTGATATTTTTATCTTTTCCAGTTAAGGAAAAAATATGGTGCAGGTGGAGTTAGAAAATTAGAAATTCAGAAAGAGGACATTACAGTTACACTTTAAGAAGCTTATGTTTAAGGCAGTTCTCCAATAAATGGTATGGCAAAGTGCACCAAGTCCTATTCTAACAATTCAAATACAGTAATATGAACGTTTATACAAACCTGCTTTAATTTGATTCTTTAGGCAGAACATTTGCGACTGAATAAAACATAAAACCTATGCTACAAGAAATGCTAGAACTTTTTCTTTTCTTTCTCACATTCATATAATATTAAAGGTAGATCCAAAGACATAAACAGTACCATCATCAATTGTTATGCATATGTAAATATGATCGTTGCATGATCCTGCACACTTATCTGTGTTTCCAAGATCTCTGCAACAATACAACCCATTGTAGGTAAGAATCCACAAGACTGGGTTTTAAGAGATGTATTAAAATCCTCATTTGATCTGTCTCCACTTTAAATGCTAGTGCAGCTGTTATAATTTAAAATATTATCCAGTAATAAAGATACATAAAATACCTATCTACTGAACAACGTCCTAACTCTTAGAATTAAATGCCTGTAGGGAACTGCTCATGCATAAGGCAGTGATCTTACCTCCAGGCCTAAGGGGTTCCTGTAAAGCCAACTGCAGTTTAGAGAATCCTAGAAATGCATTCTGTAACACTCTATGCACGTGAAACCTCAATTCCTCAATCACATTTTCATCTAGAACCCAAGACTAAGAGTCAAACAAGGATTGTCCCTCTGTGCAAGCTAATACCTGCCAAACATTGCAAATCTCCAAAGGAAATAGAGAGGAAGAAGAAAAAAAACAAAACCAAAAAAGGGCACTAAATGAATCTGGGCAAAGGCAGAAAGTACTGAGAATAAAATGCTGCACAAGACAGAAACTTCAAGTAAGCTGCTGCAGTATGAGATAGAATTACAGCATAAAAAGACACAGCAAAGAGATATGAGAAATGCCTGAGGAAAGACATATGCAAAATACTAAGCAGAGCATATAAAATTCAGCAGTGTAGAAAGTTTTAAATCAGGAAGTTCAGTTTTGGTGAAACTATCTCATGAGAAAATGCAAACATTTCTGAACTGGAACATAGAAGCAAAATTCTCAAATAGACACCAAACCATACTTTTCTGAGAGCAGTTACAATACACAAAAAATCCAATTATGTGTGTAGCAACAGAAAACATTAACAACACTTTACAACTATACAACCCCCAGATCAGTCTGTTAGTATCTACAAAAATGTCTGTGTTGTGATAACATTTCTGCTTAGAGATCTCATCTCCATCTTTGTAGGACAGATCTATTTTAATAAAGAAGTTGTGGGAACATCCATCATTTCAGCTTTCTCTCTGAATAGTAATATTCCATAATCTGTGATAATTATTTTTCCTATTATATCATCCAATTTTCCCAGAAATACTGATATATGAATCGTGTTTAAACATGTTAAGATTTAAAAAGCAACAAAATTCATACAGAAATATGACAATTTACATTTAGGTGTTTGTTTTTTTCTTACAGCAAGTCTTATCAACAGCTCTTAAAGGTTTTGGTAAATTCGTATTTTATCAATGTCACAGTAATTTCTTGGAGAGTGAAGATCAACCGTATGAATGTTTCTGTCACCAAGCTATGTAATGGAACAAGAAATACTGTAAGTTTACAGCCATGTAAAATTGCTTCTATGACAGAGAGGAATGTATTTTTTTTCCTGTCGTGGAACATCCAAAGAATTATACTAATGCCTTCATGGAGAAATCTGCCTCCTCAACCTAGCCAAGATGCTAAAGTCTATCTGAACTGGCTTTTAAAAGAGAACAGAAACATAAATCAGAAAAAAAATCACCCATAATAATCCCAAACTGATGAAGCACAGAAAAACAAAACTGTACCATTTGAAGATGAGATATGCAGAACACTTGGCTTAGCCAGAACTACCACAATTACAAACCTTACATTAACAGCATGGGAACCCTGGAATTCTTTGCATCTGACCAATCAGGGAATACATTTCAGATAAACTGGCAGTGTTTTGGGGTTTTTTTTTAAAGTTTAACACTTTAGAAAATAAGTACCAAATGAGATTAAACAAGGGTGTAATTAAGACACTATTCAAAAACTGTTACACATGAATTACAAGTATCCTCTAATGAATTTTGCTATTTTTAAAACTGGATAGAGGATATAGTGCACTGCACTTGATTTACTCTGGAAGTATGAAATTCTGGATAATTGACAACTGCACTCGTATGTCAAAATATTGACTTAAGTTCTTTAGAAGGATCCTATTACCATGCAGAACCATCAATATATCAGACTTATTTTCTTATAAATGGAAACAACAAAAAAAGGATGGCCTGTAATTTTCCAGTTCCATCAAAACTTTTTTAAATTAAGAAAAGATGCAGTTAACACTCCCTCCAGTAGCATGCTTCCCTTTGGGAAAAAAGAAATATAAGACAGAATAAAAACAATAATCAATTGTTTTGTAATTCTGCATTCAGGTAACAACATAGCAAGCTACCAAGTCCTACTTGCAATTTCAAAAGCTCCCCAACAAGGTCTCACAAACAGGCTGCCAATCAACAGCAACTACCCATTTCTTCAGAGCTGTGCATGTCCAAAAGCTAATACTAGGGCACACACCTGAAATTTCCAAGGACAATTTAGATCTGTGTTTAAGACTAGATTAGAAAAACTTACTGTTATTTTTACAGTATTTATAATAAATACAACCCCCGGCATCACACCACATTACTAATGAATCTGTGTACTAACATCAGATGAAGTCATATTACATACAGATCCAAAATCATCCTAAGAGGGTCAAAAGACAACAGCCCATTTTCCCCATTTGTAATTTTCTTTTTATCTACTGGGAAAAGTGTCCACTTTGGACTGATGGCTGAAGCTGCAAATATTTGACCATTATTTTGAAATCATAGTTTGTCTAACCCATGCTAGAATTCAATTTTTTTTATTAAAATAATCTATTCATATCCAATACTGAACATAATTTCGCTATATAAATAATGCAACTCTAATATAAAAAATCCAGCCATACTGGAATAAACAATCATCTGTGCCCTGTATTCACAGTAACCATACTGTGAACATTTACTACATTTACACTGAACTACTACCAGTGCTTCAACACGTCCTGTGAAGCAAACTGAAGATCACCTGCACTTGGCCTTGCAAAACTCACAACAAAACACAGAACGCCTACTAAACAGCAAAACACAGGAGTCAAAACAGCATTACAAAGAGCGTGAAATAAAAAACTGTGTCCTGATCTACTTCTTGAAGACAAATTTTCTCCAGGTACAATTTCGTCAATGAATTGCCCTTTTGATTCAAAAATCTCTTGTGTATTTACCACAAGGCATAGTTACCACAGTTCCACTTACAGACATTCATATGATAAACATAAAAACAACTCAGAATAATCATCATCATCCTCATAACCCTATATTTACACATAATTAATATAAATAGCTATGTAGACATAATTTACTTTGGAAAAAGTTGCTGCATTTGATCAATTTATCTTTCTGAACACAATAATGCTGAGTTCTTTCCCATGACACTCTGAAAAAATTATCTAACTTTAACTTTTATGTATAGTAGAATGGTAATTGTATAAGCTGTTATCTGCAGTCTCCATTGGATATGCTGATAAATTACTGAAATCTAATTAAAGGTTGTAATTCCTTCGGTTTTCCTTCCAGCTAGTTTTTAGAGAAAATAAATAACAGGTGCATTTTTAAAGAAACAAAACCCCCAAGAAACTAAAAAAACCCCAAGTTCTGGCTCAAGAATCCTGATTGTTAGAAATGTATAAACCACATTGCTGTACCATACTGCATATTAAATAGAGTTTAATTTTGTTTGAGGTAGAAACAAGAAAAATGAAGACTGAAGAGTATGAAAATTATAAAGCACTTAAATTTTTGTGGAATTACGTTAAATACTTAATAATTTTTGTAATAATAGTATCTTTTTGGTAAGAAACAAAAGCAGAATTCATGGTTACCATAGTTACACATACTCTTTGTTGTGTTTCAATGCCACATGATCTGATTCAAAGTAATACACATCAGGCTCTTCCTCGTCCTCCTCAGCAGTGTGGATGTTGGTACTCTCTTTGGCAGATGGTACATATCCAGCAACAAGCCTAGACTCAGAAAGTGGCTTTCTTAGTCCATCACTCCCATGATCCCCTGTATTACTATTTCTCTCTTTTTCATTCTGTTTGATTTCTTCAGACTTTTTGGGAGATCCATTGATATTATTAATACCTACAGGTACATTCGTTTCAGTAGGACTAAGATTATTTTCCTCAACCTGTCCGTTTTCTCTACAAGGAGAGTTATTTTTAGTAGGGCTACTTCTGGCAGGGGCAGCCCTTCGTGGTGAAGTTCTCAACGTGTATCTGTGTTCTTGAAGTTCCAACATATTTGTCATCTGAGCTGAAACACAGTTCAGCACTGAAGAATGTGGTTCAGGTTCACCTGAGATTGAAGCACTGTCCTGGTGAGTATTCAGGTTGCTATTGGTGTTTTCAGCACACTGTTCCTTAGAGGCACTGCTATCTCCTACAACATCCACCTCCTCCTCCGAATCCCTTAACAAAGACGACTGGATTTCAGAAAAGGACCCTGTAGCTGGCTCAAATGCCTGATTAGCATGCTCCTCAGGCAAGCAGTCATTTATTGTTTTGTGGTCCTCTAACTTTACCTGTTCTTGAGAGTTTGTGCAAGGCACATAATGGTCTACAACACTGTCCTCTTTGCTGCTATTAAGCAACAACGAAGAATGGGCAAATGAGTTTCCATTTTCTGCTACTGTTTTGTCCTTGGGAGTACGGGAACCAGCACTGTTCTGCTTAGCGTTCCCATCAAGCTGACAGTCATCACAGTTAAGAGAATTTGAGTCTCTCTCACCAACTCCATTGACAGTCTGATAACCTGCAACCTCTTCAACTACTGCAGAATTATTAAACCCTTCTGCACAGACATTCACCTTTTTAACTTCCCTTTTCTCACAATCATCCAATATAAGACATCGACAAGCTCGCTTAGTCCCCGTGGAGGCTGCATCATTGTCCGACACTAAGCTTTTATGCTCCAATGGCTCCTTCTCTGCCTTAGTGGGCAAGTCTTCTTCAGAACTGTTGGGTGCCTCTGAACGTAGACAGCGTTTAATTCTTTTCAAAACCGGTGAAACAGGTTCTGCTTGTTTTTTTTCACTATTTTCCACAGTTTGCTTATCACCATTATCTTTCTCTGAAGTGGACAGCCCTCTCTTTCTAGGGCTCACCCATGACTCCCGAGCACTCTGCTGTTTCAAATCAGTAGTTCTGCCACCGTTGCTGCCCTTCTGAGTTTGCACAGACTCTGGCCTCTTCTTTGGTGACCTGGATCGGATTTGAGGATGGGGTGAGACTTCCTCTGGATGAGCAATACTACGGTTCCTTAATGTTCTACCACAAAAATTTTCATCCAAACCATTTAAACCCACTGTAGATCTTGTAACACGAGTAGATCGAGAAGCAGCCATACTACGGCGAGTCCCTAAAGTATGTTCATCGTGATCCACTCACTGGGAAACCTTCCAAAAAAATGCAAACAAAACAGTCAGAAAAAATATTTTAAAAAAACCTAGAGACACAGCCAATCTGAAGAATGTATTGTGACAAACATACCAATGTAAAACTGAATAAGCCAATCAATGTTTTTATACTGCTTTTTTGCATTATAGTCCTTCAGTGCATTAAATTTTTCCATCTCAAAGTAGCTGACTTAGTATTTGTGGTTGTTCTGGCTTTAGTACTTGTGAGAGCATTGCTCATATTTATGCCTTATGTAAGGCTGGAATGTCCCAATTAGGCTCTAGTTACTAAAATACCCTATTTTTATGTATTGTACATATGTTTTAACGTATTGGTATTATTATTTAAATTTGTCTGTTCAAGTAAAAGTTATGAGACTCCATTCCCAATATTCCACAGTTTCCAGTTACATGGTTTCACAGACTAAGAAGTAAACCATTAAAATTGCATTTGCTTACTCAGCTGTTGCTTAAAGAAAACACAAATCTCTCGTAAATAACAAAACAGAACTGAAATTCTAATTTAGCAAGGAATTTAAAAAAATAAAGCTGCTAAAAAGTAATTACAGTTATTATTAGTAATAATGAAATAAAATTTCTGAATCAGAATCATAAAATCATTCCAGCTGGAAAGGCCTTTGAGATGCAATCCTATCCAACCTCCCATTCAAATGAACTTGAGGCCTAAATTCAGATTTAGTTACATGGAACATTATCCAGCTGGGTCTTAAAAAACACTGAGTACAGATATTCCACAACTTTTCTGGGCAACCTGTTCCAGTCCTTAAAGCAAAAATACTTTTTCTTACACCCAGGTGGGGCCTCTCCTACTTCTGTATTACTTATGACAACAAAAGCCTGGCTCTATCAGGAGTCTCCTCTGAGGTACTGGAAGGCTGCATCCCTCTCAGCTGGTGAGATGAATCATCACTCACATCAGATTGAAGTAAATTCAGACTCAAAGATAAGTTTAAAACATACCATTTCAGAGTGACTGTATTTCACATTCCAGGGTGAAATGTAGGAGTACTTGACCTGCCCAGTATCTCAAAATAATTTTTAAGAGAACTCAGTTCAGTCTTACCCTTCCTATTCATTTAATCTTTAGAAGTTTAATGTGTCAAATGCCGTATCATCACAGATCTGTCAGAACAGCCTTGCTAATGAACAGATTCACATCTGTGCATAATGGCACACCTTCCCTTTTTCATCTACCCAAATTCCAGGTTATACAAACCAGTTCAACTGTCATATGATGTGAAGACTAGAAATTTTAAAAATTGCATCAAATCTTTCATACGTTACTTAGAAATGCTGAAAATAACAATTGGAGAAAATTATTTCAATAGGTGTTTTTCAATTTCAGCAAAGAAGGGGAAAAAAAAGAACATAAATTCATAAATCCTCCCAAATCTACTATTTGTCAGATGGTCCTAGAAGAGAAAAGAGAATGGGACAAGACAAGTACACTCTCATCCAATAGAATTCTGTTTAACATTTACCAGTATTTACTGTATTGTGTGTTTAGGAATTCACAATGCAAACTGTATTTCTTAAGGAAAGCAATGTATCCTAATAGTATTGCCTGGTGTAGTTCTGGACAAAACTGCAGAAGAAAGCACATAATTTTGTGTACATGTGGTATGTAGCTCTATACACAACTGTGTACAACAGCACTTCATTTTGTGCCACAATGAAAAAGACAATTTTAAAGTGAAAACTTCAAATATTCTCAAAACTGTGATTTATTTATGCTGCTAGAACCCTCCCGCTTGTTAGCTATTCCTGCTGCCTTAGATGAATGCCTGGAAAGGTTCGCTGCTTGTATTCCTGAAAATGCATCTAAAGAGACGCTGCAGCGCTAACTTTCATTCTGTCCACTTAAAATTAAGTAAGTGTGAGCTCTCCAACACACTCGGTCTTAAGAAAAAATATAAATAATACGTCAAGCAGCAAATGGCCAAACATCAGCAGCTGACTGAAAAGGACAAAACACAGTGTGTTTTCTATAATGGTTTTTACACCATTTTCCACATGGATAAACTTGCCTGCATATTCTCCCTCTTTGCACACAAGCTAAATACCATCTGGAGAGTGATCTCATTTGGGGTTGAACCCAAACATGAAAAAACAGGGTTTATTTATATATTCCATTTCCCCTAGGTTGTTCTAATTAAAGCTAGCACACATTTGGGGTGAGTAACTGACATTTCAAGTCAATACCAATAAAATAAACTAAACCACATTAAAATGTATACTTTGCTTAGTAATTACTGCTGAACTCAACAGATTTTAGAAATCATATGTAAGAGAGAAATCTTTACTGATTTGCTGATATGACACTTTCTAAAGAAATACACCTTACAAGACAAGATAAAAAGTTATTATTTCCTTAGTACAAATGTAAAAAAACTTACCATTGCAAAACTAGAAGAAATGTAAACTTCTGGCATTTCATACAGTAGACTCTTACTGCACCACTCAGATAATATCAATCACCATTGCTGATATCCATCATGTAATCCAAATGCTTTACTAGTTTATGCCATCACATTAACCAGATTTTGAAAACTGTTGAGAAAAAGACAAAAATGTCAATGAAACATTTAAATTACCACACCAAAAATTAAGAATGCAACAGGACATATAAAGAGTAACAGCTTTTTAAAGAAGCAATTATCAATTTTGAAAATGTCCTACTGAGAGAAAGATCAATATGCTATAAAGTAATTAAGTATGTGACATGTTAATTTAAGTTTCAAATGTAAAACGTCTTTCTTGGTAGCTTCTAAGTGATTCACTGTAGCACACACTAAATTTGCAAGCAAATGAATTCATGGAGAAGTCGTGTTGAGTGTTCAAATTTCAGTAGGTATTTGAAGAGACACAAGAAAACAAGCAGTGAAAGCTATTACTACAACTAATGAATTATGAAATGCACTGTCAAATGTATTTTATAATTAGATACGCAGTGAAAAACTCTGCTGTTTAATTTTAATTAACTGAGCAGACCTCTAAACTTATATTGGCTCCAAATCCCTGAATAACCTTCATCTATACAATGGGACCAAACTGTTTTCTAGAATTCAAACCTTAAACCTATTCTTCATCCAAGGAAAACAATGTATAGCACCTCTTTGTAGTGGAAGTGAAATATTTTGCATATTGAAAGACAAAACATCTATACATCCAAAATTCATACAACGCTTTCAGTCATCTCTAATTTGGGCATCTGTGCCAATAACCAAGTTACTACATGAAAAAACACACCAGCAATCACATTTAATTTAAGAACATCTAGTACTATGAAGGCACCATAATTCATGAAAGAATAATGGTTATTGAAACTTTCTTCATATTCTACTTACTTCATACAAATGACCTTCCTTTCATCTTGACAATTCAAAACTTCCTGATCTAAACCACAAGCTGATAGGTTCCTCTATATTCTTCATTCTACACAGTTTTTATATTTAGATTACTGGAAATTTACTTTCAATCTAGTTAAGATTTCATACTGGTAAGAAAAGAAAATTTATTCACCATTAAGTTTCCAATTCAAAATCCAAACTGAGGTGCATAAGAGGAGATTAATTGTGTCTAATTGCAGTAAATTCAGTAATAGAAGATGTTTCTACAGTGATGCTACATGAAGTATCATAAATTCTATTATGTAGATAACTAAATCAAATCAGGTTTCATTTATTCAGTGGGATTTCTCAATCTAATAAACAGCAGAGAACTATCATCATAATAAGACAAAGAATGGAAGAACAAAAAGGCAAAGACAAGCACTTGAAAATGCATGTTACTCTTAATCCATATTATTGCCTTTCCTAAAGATCTCTTTAACTGATGCATCTAGAGCCACCAAAAGTACGACAAAGTTTGACCAATTTTTGCAAAAGAACAATATACCAAATAAAAATACCAGCTCAGTAACTTTGGTGAAAATATAAAATATACTTAAACAAAAAAACATTTAAATAAAAGGTAACAGTGAGCCAATCAGAAGGTGGCCTAATCTCATAATTTTTTATTACCTCACCAATCTTGAGTTAAGAACATATGAATAAGTTGTTTCAGGAATGGCTGGAATAGTATTGTCAATATTTTGTCAGATTTGTACACCTCATCTCTCCCGACTTTCTTTTGCCCAAAACAACCCTATTTTACTCACAGTAGGAAAGACACAACCCCTGCTGTGTCTATTTGCCTTTGAGGACAGCTGAAGCAATTTAGAGACAGAAAAAGATTGTGTAAATATTACAAAGAAGAAACCAATGCAGGTAAAGAAATTTTACTTAGTCAGAATTTTTTGTCTGGTAGCAGTTTGCAGGGATGGAGGAGGGAACAACAATTTAAAAAACCAGGAAACTTTAATCAGGATACAGTGAAATGACAGCACCTTAATCACACTTAAAACCTAGAAAACAACATTCACAAGGGCATAACAAGTGATCAATTATATAATTCTCCCAAAAGCTTCCTTGGAAAAACTGTCTTGAAAATTAACTATTCTTCCTTTACATTGCATAACCAATTACAATGACATTTTTCACTTAGAACAATCACATCTTTTGCGGCAGAGAATTTCAATTGAGTAATTTAATGTTTTGGACACCACTCATTATAGAAGCTATTTATGAGCTGGAATAAGGAGTGCAAGGGAAACTAAATAAGCTTTTAGGTCTAAAAGCCTTTCTTCAGGGAACAACATCAACATTTAAGAAAGAATACTGTAATACTGCAATGAAGACTAAAAGTTTGAAGAGTGATAATCAGCTAAGAAACACCACACTGTGGTCTGAAGAGCCCACTAAAAATTAAGCAGCTACAGGTTAAATAGAATGCAATGCAGACAGAGCTCTGAAATAAGTAAGGGACTCTGAATTTGTCCCTTGTGGGGAAGGACCTGTGTAAGAAGCCAGTGAGCAAATGTTGCTGCTGAAACTGTACAGGAAATGGTCACACATTAATCAGTATGGACAACCTTCAGAGTGAGACTGAAGTTCAACTGCTTGCAGAAATTGTCTACACATCTTACCTACAATCGAGCATTTCATGACAACATAGGATGAATTTCTGGATATGCAAGTTTGTATTTAGGAACCCTTAAACTTACTCAGCTTTAGGCAGACTCTACCAATACACATCATATTCATATTATGCTAGAATTTTTATTTAACTAAACCACAAGCCTATTTAGTAAAGTTACTGAATACTGAACTGTGTGCATGAAAACTTCTAGCAAAAAAGGACACAAATTTATATACAGATGAAAACCAACAGTTAAATACAGCAGAATGAGGAAAACCCTCCCTAAATAGGCAGAATAACCCATTTTTTCCTGGGTTATGGTGGTACTGTCTGAGAGATAAGTAAGAGCCCAACTGTTTAAAGGAACTCAGAAACACGGATGCAGTAACAAGCGTGTTCCACACGGCCGTAAGCTCGGAAAGAGACAGTGAAAAGAAGCAGCGAATACCTGAACACACTGCGTGTATACCAGACATGAAACCAGCAAAGCAACAGACGCCACTGTAACTGTGGTGGAATTATAGATATGGAACTTCAGATGGATAAGTTAACATTACATACAACATTAAACCAAAAAAATAATTGTGTACTGGGGGTGGGGGAGAAGAGACTTTCAAGAGAAGTCTCCAAGAGTTGTTGGATGTCACAATTTGATGAAAATGGGTAATAACGAAAGTCTTCCAAAACAATTCAACCCTAGGAAACAGAATAGTGTAACTCATCTGAGCTAGAGTACAATTAATCATTTTCATATTGAAGAGAAATAATCTGCCCTCTTCTTGTTCTTTTGAGTCTCATCTAACAATCAGCATGCTCAGTGATAATACTGCAGTGGTAAAGACTCAGATGTTTCCTAGTGTTCAGATATGGCATTTGTGGGTATCTGATAGCAGGAGCACTCTCTAGTACCACACTTCAGTAAATCCCCAAATTACTTCAGAGACCATATCTGCTATTGGTAACGTTACCGGTTAGAAGAGCAAATGTGACACACATACATAATTGCCCAAAGTCATAAATAAAACTGGTGGATGTCTCTGGTATAGAAGAGCAGTTCTTAAATTCTCTGCAGAACAAGGGAATGTTACTTACAACAGAACATTTTTAAAAATTGAAAGCAGCAGCTATTTATGCACACAGAATCCAATCCCTTACAGAAGGATTTGCCCAAGACAAAAAAATTAGCACCTCTGAAAAGATAAGAATCGGCACAGACACCAGATTATCAAGATTTTGGATTATCTCCACGTAGAAAATACATCACTTCCTAACAAAGTAGTATTACTAAATTAGGGAGGAATTTCATTTAACAAATTATATTCAGCAGTCTATCACATCTAGAGTATGCCAGCATCTCTTCCCACACATACTGAGTTTCACAGAACTACATTAGCAAGAAATCAGTTTTCTGGAAACAGCATTTTATTCTTCTGATTCTACATTACATCAAAACAAGCAGTACTTTCAAATGACAGCAATAACCTCCACCAAAAGACATTATGAAGATCTTACTCGAAATAACATGCAACAATAAGCAGCTTAGAACTATAACAAAAGCTTAAATACAATAAAAATTAATAAATGCTACTGGAATTATTCTGAGATTTCAGCTGTCTCTGACACAGTAAGATTATATTACATATGGTAAAAATATAGTCTGTCAGAATGGTACTACTTATATTAATCTTATATATAAAAGGCTAGTAAGATAAAATAAAGTAAAAGAAAAAACAGAATATGAAAAAATTGCCAACAGGTTTTAAAAGCTAGCAAACTAGCAAGGGAAATGTTTTACTCAAAATTAAAACTTCAAAGAACCAGAATGAGTAGTTCAATATGCTATTTTTCTTCTTTAAAAGAGATGGGTTTACTAGGCTAGAAAAACCCTAGTCTTACCCAGAGGAAAAAAATTCTATAGAAAGAATCTTCTTGTAGAAAGCTATTTCTACTTCTTTCTGGAAGAAAAAAAGATATAATGGGCAGGGAAAATGCATTGGTACTTAAATAATAGGATGTATGAAAAGAAACAAAAGCTCAACCTCCTCCTAAAACTGTCTTATTGTCTTATTCTTTCTCTAAAACCACGAAAAGAGGTTGAACCAGAAAGTTGCATGACAATGACCAGCAATGTACACCCATTCCTTTGCACCGTTTGCACTCAGCAGTGCTATCAAAACTGCTGAGAGCTCTGCTGTTTCTCATTCTTCTGGGTTACCTAATATGAGGAAACTTACTGGAAGGATGAGTATAGGCATCACCCCTTTTCCAGCCAGACATTCCAGGATAAGATTGAAAAACTACTTCACATAGAACTAAATATGAATTATACAAGTGTAACTTTACAACAGAACTCTAGAAAAGCAACCACTATACCAAATTTCTTCTCTTTAAAGCCTGAAACACTTAAACTGCTTTCAGTTTCTTGTATCTTGGCCAAATTAGAGTTTGTGCTGAAATTATACATTGAAGCATCTGTCTCAGACTGATATTCCCACCCTGCTGTCTCTCTCCTGAATTCTCAGTCAAAATAATTACTCATTTCTGTGCACAAATATGGAAATTATTTTAAACCCTTCTTGCTGCTTAAGACACATCTGACTGTTTCTTCAAGAAGGTTTTCTTCCTCCATCTTTTGGAGTAAGCAATTGGGACTTGGCATAGACAAGCGTTTGCCTGAGAACAAAAATGCTGGTGGAGCTGTGATGGAGGCAGGCTGAGGGCAATGCTAAATGCGAATGCACAGCTAAGGAGAGCAGCTACACTGGCAAAAAGCACTGGATGCTGACTGGAAAAAGAAGCAGACTGGAAATCCTAAAGAACTGCTAAAAGACAGAAGGATCACAAGTGTGAAAAAGGAAAACTGGAACTGGGAATAACTGAAAGGAACAGGCAGAATCTGTGATTTTACCTAGTCCCAACTCACCTACACACATCACACAGCACTCATCCCAATTATCTGTCTCAAATATCTGGGACAACTCTGTCAACACAACTGTTGTGGAACTATACCCTGAAATAAATCTACAAATAGCCCAGAGTTGAAAATGCCATCTTTTCTTCTTTTCAGATGGCTTCGAGATGAATCAATTTTTCCTGTGGGTCAAATTAAAGGACAGTGTGCTGCAGCACAACATGGGATCACAGGGCCACAACAAAAGGTGAAGATGTGAACTCTGTAAGGTGGTAATCACAGCCCCTTGGAACAAGAAACCACATTCCACACTTGAACGCACCACCTGGTGTGTTCATCTTTAGAATGTCATCTAAACAGAAAAATGCAAAAAATTATCATTTAATACAATTTGCACTTGTCCTGATTAAAGACAGTAACTTAAGTAAACATCCTGACTAATATTTAGTCAATAAAGTCACTACTTATACAATGACACAATTAAATTATCAAGAAAATGAAAACCAGACTATGTAAATAACTTCCATGTCCCAGTTTAAAAAAATATGCTTAGCCTCACTTATTGTCCATCCCTCTATATTCTTATCACCCCATCTACCAAATCCATTTTATCATCCTAGGTGAAAGCCCCACTCTAAATTATAATATGCCTTCTTCACGTGAAACTATTCAATTGCTAATTAGCTGTCCTGTAATCCAAAGAGTATCTTCTGTGCAAGATTACCAAAACACGTGACTAACATCTCTGAGATTCATTAAATCACACAGGTTCCTGAAAAGCTCATTATAAAATTAATTACACTAACTTAATTACAGTAACTATTTATCAAACTGTTATTCTAGGAGAAGACTCCAATCATATTTAATCTTTTAAACACAGAACACGGTTTTATATAAATAGGAAAACTATTATTTATTCCCTGAAGAAGTTATTATTATGATATACAGAAAATATCTAGCATAAAAAGACATTGCTTTTTCCCATAGGTAGGCTGCAATTTTATGAGTTCATCAAGTACTTAATAATCCTGCTAGTAGTTTACAGATGAAAAGGATGGAAAAAAATCAGTTCTCCTTTACTTTTTCTTAAAAGTCCCAGGATAAACCAGTTTGCTCATTTTAGTAGAATATTACACTGAAAATTACTACTCTGTCTGATTTACTTTTGAGGCAGTGACCACGAACATGCTACCTTATGAAGTACACTGTAAAGTACATATTCTATGAAATACTGTCTAGAACATATTTTTATCCTAGATGATTTTCAATCAAGGGCATGCATTTGAAATGCAACAATTAATACAGCTTTTTATATACAAAATGACAGCATCAGCTCCATAAGCCTCACAAGGTTGATGGACAACTCAGAGCAGCATCACACACACACACAACCAGGAGCTCTGCATGGGCTGTGCTTTGAAGTGCTCCTGCATTATACTAAGGCAAATACAAACCCAGAGTTTGGAAAAGGGACACGAGAGGCATGCAACAGTTCCTGCAAAACATTTTCAGTGTTGTTTCAGAATTAAAATGCTTTTGTTCTAAATTTTTCTTCAAAATTTAAAATATGCCTTCACTCCTCAAAGAAACAAAAAGTGAGAAGGCTGTTTTTCCAGCTATCTACATTCATGAGAACTGTTTTAAGTACTTATTTTTCATCTGATAATGCTTTTGCCCCATCTATGTTTTTTCCTCTATCTAGGGGATATACATTATTCTATAAGCAGATTAGCAATGGGCTGGCTTTGTAGTCCGTGGCAGCATTCTGCCACAAATCCCATTGCACCTCCAATATTCTGAAAAATTTCATGTTTCTCCCTCTGGCCATCTCCAAACCTCAAGGATGGTGAGGCAAATTCTAGCCCATACATGCACTGACTAGACTGCTTGCAAACCATGCAGAGCAGGTTACTACTGGGCTCTAATCCCCCTTAAAAAGGGGGCTACCATTTTTGTGAAAGCTGCAAGCTCTCTACAGTTCTGAGATGTTTACTCTCAGCTAAATTTAGGGGGTTGCTAAGTCGGCCTAAGGATTCAAATATTCCTTAGTGACAACAGTAAACAAATAGAGGGACACCTAACAGTTGATCTAAATCACACTGCAAATGCTTAAAATATATTCTGGACAGACTGGGGGCAGGGAGGGCATGCAGAACTATCCCAAATCCACAAAGGAAAAAAAAAAAAAGGCAGTTTGTCACAGCTGTGCTATAGCTGTGCAGTGTCTTCTCACCCAGTGCATTTTCATGGTCCCAGAATTACAGGCATCCCTTGGCATACCAGCTGATCCTGCGTGTATAATCATAGCACCAGTCACTAACACCACACAGACAAGCTCTCACATGCATGGGGCTTGGCAAAGTAATGGACAAGCTTATAAGTCAAGTATGCTTTAAACTTGAATTTAACCCCAGTAGTAGCACGCTACCATGGAATCACACACTCATTTAGGCCGGAAAAGACCCTTCAGATCATGGTGTCCAATTGTAAATGACTTGTCTTATGTCACTTTTTGACTGGCAGTTATTTTTTAGAGTCCCAGATCTATTAAATGTTCTTGTGGCTCTACTACAACTTACTTTGACATATTATTAAAATTGTATTGCACCAAGTCATTTCATCTGGTGAAGAGCCAGAGAAACATCTGTTTTCTAAAGAAACTGTCTGAGGTGCTACAGCTGTTTACATGTTTCAGTACTGTACTCTCTGCTAAACCTCAATATTGTGGCAGTTCTCAAAATAGTGATCTGCAGTAAAAAGACCCATCCCTCCTTCTGCCTTCCATGGAGGATTTTGTTCATTTTCATTGCTGCATGCTCCAGTTTGGTCTAATACACTGCATAACTGCTAGAGTCATATTAAGCCATAGGTGACAAGTTCAACATTGCAGACTTTCAAAGCAGCTCTGAGCACATTCTTGCTCTGTGAGTTGGATGTCAGCATCTTCTACACCAAGAATGTGCCTTTCTCCCCAGAAGTACTTAAAGGCAGACAGAAATTTTCTCCCAATGCTTGGGCATCCTGACAAAACTGCAGATATCAGCACTCGAAAATGTTTGTTCTTAGATGCTTTCCAAATTCTGCTTTGTGACTGACAGTGAGCTTGTTGAGCAGAGAGATTTCAATACACCTCCATAGCCTGACATTCTCACTGTATGTTCAGGCTGTATTTAGGTTTCCTGAGTAAGAAGACTGTTATGCATATTTCAGTCTACTTGGCTTGGGAGTTTCCACTGGCAAGTACTGAAGGTGTTTTAAGTGCATTAGGAACTGTGGTTTTTAAAAGCTCTTAAAGGGGCGGTGAGCAGCTGCTTTCTGTTTTGCTGCAGTCCTGTCTTCAGGCACAGGAAATAAAACCCACAATACGAACACTATTACATACCCCTTCCTTTTAATCCAAGCACATCTACTGCTAATAGAGACCTTTATTTAAAAAACACCAACTTTATTGTAGGACTGCTCCTAGTTCAACTAGTACATTACCTTTTCCTAGCTGCTACTGTTCATATCCCAACTACTTTCAGATAGGACAGCTGGACACAATTTCCTTGATTGGTAGCCTAATTAACTTTTCTAGTGTAAATAAATAATTCAAATGCAACTATGACCACATCACATGTAATTTTGTTTTACTTGATTGCCATTCTGCTTTCCTCTCTTGCTGTGCTCAGAAGGTCTTTGTATGCCAGCACATTCACTGATAAACAATATGCTGCTTTTGATTTCCCAATTTCTGTGTTCTGTCTGGCCTATGCTTACAGTACCAAGTGGAAATACAAAGGAAGTTCTGTCTAGCCTACATTTACATTTAAAATTTCAGCCTTTTAGTTACTCTTATTTTCTCAGTATGAACATTTTTTTATTTTAACGCTTTGGCATTAAATTTCATTAACTGCCAACGCAATTGCCTTGTAAGAATGCAGGGAGTTGTTAGTTCATCTCCTACAGGTTTTTGCTTTTCCTGTGACCACTGACAAATAACCTTTAGGATTGCTCCACTTTCATTTTTCATCTAGATGCAGACTTACTCA